CAAAGCACAAAGCACCTCCCAAAACCAATACAATCATCCATAATACAACCCAATACACAAAGCACCTCCCAAAACAAATACAATAATCCACAACACAACTCAAAACCCAAAGCGCCTAAACAATCCCATAACCTTGTCGCGAAGCCTCGCAAGACTACTGTCGAAGCGTCCATAAAAGTAACCAACATCCTAACCAGGTGTGGGGTCAGCGACCCTCATAGAAAACCCCAAGAGACCACAACCATCTCCGCAGATTTCAGCATGTTGCAGCCATAAGCGGCGATGCATATCTGAACGTTCGCTCATGATCGTCCATGTACTTCTCTTTTTTCGACCAAGCTAGCATTCGAAATGCAGCGGCGTGTCATTGCTGGTTGATGTGGGGCACGGCGTCGTACAAGTCAGGATAGTTGGCTGAAGACATGCCCCAGCAGAGCAATGTTGGCCGCCACCTGAAAAATCTCCAAGAGGGTCCATATATACTACCATTATGGAATTAGATCCCCAAAACCACAATAAGGATGGTCTTGTGGGACCTAATATTCCATAATGGTAGTATAGGGTGAACCCCAGAAAGTTGGAACATGGCTTTAGGATGATTCGTGCCAGGATCCCTTATACTTTACCTTAAGGGCATGAGGATAATGATGTTCCAACTTTCTGGCTTCTGCTTTACATGGTGTGTCTTCAACCTTAATAGGGTTCCTACTTTAACTTAAGGTATATTCCTAAGTGAAGCACTTCTAAGCTGTAGTGCCTGATTTATGGTTTAGGGTTTAGGGGTGTAGGGTTTAGGGGTTCAGGTTTAGGGGTTCAGGCTATCTGGGGTTTAGGGTTTAGGGGTTTAAGGGTTTAGGGTTTGGGGACTTAGGGGTTCAGGCCGCAACTCCAAATAGCCTTGCAGAGGCCACCTGAGCAGCTGCGGGGGCAACACAGAAGCTTGAGAATTTAGAGATGCTGGTCATTGAGGGTTTAGGGATTGTAGAATGACTTGACTTCCCCCTCCTTCGAACATGGCCCCCTAATTAATTTTGAGGGCTTCAGGGGTATAGGAGTTGGGGTTCAGGTTTGCGGCCTAAACCCTAAGCCCAAACCCTAAACCCAAAAGGTTTTATAGTTTTCGCGGAAAGGTTTGTTGAAGGATCTTGGGTGATTTGGTGTGGCTCTCAGGGCAGGGGGGTCTACTCTAGGACATTTTCAGGTGGGGAGTTACCGTTATAGGAGCCTGAGGGAAGGTCTATTTACATTGTAGAAGCCGTATAGAAGCCCTATATACCCTAAACTCCCCAGCTGTAGTTTCCTTTAATTCACTGGCTTTTCTGTTTGGGGTGCGCGGTACGCTCCTCGTGTGATGCACCCCATCAGACCCCAACATGCAATTCCATATCCTTATTCGAGGCTGTTTTGCTGATTATCCTAGCACTGTGAAAATTGCTGATCCTCTACAGACTTCGCAAAATCTATGAGGCCGCGGCCCCAAACTGAACTGGCTGTGGTGATGGCTCAAGCATTTCCGCAGCGACGTGGAGTTGAGGGATCTTCGGACCTTTGCGACATCATGGCTCGTTGCGCCGTCATCGCCCTGTCCCTTCCTTTGCTGTCGATCGCCAAGGCCCACGCTTCCCTGCGTGGCGGGGACCTGCAGTGCACTGGTGAGGGGAATCTTCCTGCTGGCCCTGTTTGCTATGGCAACACCCTCCTGTCAGAAACTCAGTAGCTGAGTGGATACACTTTACACTTTTTAGGATAATATTACCTACTATAAAACTGAAAGTGTACACTTTTCTGGGCTTATGAACTCAGCAGCTAAGGAAACGTTCAAGATCCATGTGGTTAGCCACGATGGTGAAGTGGGCATTGTAGACATGAAGACCGAGGGATCCCAGGAGGCTCAGTGTGATGGTGCGCAATTTCAGAACAAAGGGAACGTCATCACCATCGAGAACGACCATGGATGCGGAGTTTCCAGCTACGAGTACTCGGTGCAGTACTGCCCGGACCAGGACAACCTGATGATCGACATCGTGAAGCCGTCCAGCGTGCGTATGGTGCTCGAGAACCAGGCCTGCCCCACAGCTGCTGAGGACAAAGCTGCAGCTCCTCCGTCTCCTCCGCCGTGCTGTGGCTGAGGTCTGAGCTCAGGTCGTCAAGATCTCGGTCGCTGATGCTCAGACGCTGTCGCCAAAGATCTTTCCGTCGCACTTAGGATTCCTTTAGGGGTTCGATTGAAAGCTTCCCACCATGTAGAATGTAGGACATTGATGTCTTGAACAAGGCGCGGCGGTCAGATACCACTGTCGACTGTGTTGAAGTTTACACATGTTTGTTGCTGGCAGCTCCCTTGCGCAGCTAGCCACTCCTTGGGGCCACAAGTGTCCCTGCATCACTGCGGAGTCTCTGAGATGTGCCAGTAATACCCAGAGCTCATGGCAGGCTCCCCAGATGCGAATTTATAGCCGCCGTATTCCACAAGTAGCTCTAGCGACCGCAGGAGCCTTGTGTCAATCGCAATGCTGGCCTTGCCCACTGTTGCACAGGACCTCTACGCGGTACCCGATTTTTTGGCTGTGTTTCTACAAACCTCGAACCTGTTTCTGAATTTTATCGCCGGGCTTGGCCAGCGGACGCAAAACCCACAGATGGCTTGAAGCTTCCGTGACAAGAAATGGAGAAAGTTTGAGACCTCGTCCTGCATGCGCTGGAAGTCCCAAGGTGTCCTAAGTACGTACATATTACTAAACCAGGTAGGAGTTACTACTCGTATGGCTTGGGCAAAGATCCCCCAAGCAACCATGAATCTCTTAGTTGTCAAATGTCGGGTTCCCGCGGCAGGCCCTAAAGCCTAAAACTTACAGCCATAAACCTAAAACTTTCTAGTTCAGGGGTTTCGGGGTTTCGGGTTGAAGGTGTCGGATCCCCGTGCAGGCAACGATGATGGAGTGGACCGACGGCGTGCTGTCCTCCATCATGCGCCGGATGTGCCAGGAGTCGGCGAGTGTATGAGTGTAGGGCTACACAAAACAAGGTCCTTTGAGGGGTTCTAAGCACAGAGGGTCCATGTACGGGTGCGTATACCCTACCATTATGAATTAATTAAGTCCCAAAAGACCATCCTCATTGTGGTTTTGGGGACCTAATTCCATAATAGTACGTAGTATACATGGACCCTTGGAAAAGAGGTTTTAGGTTGCGGGCTTAAGGCTTTCGGGTGCGTGGGTTGAGTGAGGGTTGCAGGTTTAGGGTGCAACTTTACGACCCTCAACCCTGAACCGTGGCAAGCATCTAGGGTAGAGGGGTGATGGTGCTTATGAGCCCTTGAAACAAGCCGCGTCGAAATCCGAACTCTGGTGGCATACATGCTTGGTGTTCTATTGTTTGGCCTGAACCCTAAACCCTAAACCCTAAACCCTGAAATTGTTTAGCCTAGAAGGCATTGGGCAAGGCCTCCGCGCTTGAAGACGTATCCGATGTTACGGCGAAAGGTGACCGCGCATCGAGCCCTGAACCCAAAGCCCTAAGATCTTAGGGCTTCAGGGTTTAGGGTTTAGGGTTCCCTAAACCCCGAAACCCCCCCCCCCCTGCCCCCCCCCTAATATGGAGTTTGTATATTCAGGGGGGGGTTAATTTTGGGGCGAAGGGGTCATAACGCTGAGCCAGACTTGTAGGTGTTGGTTCTCCAGCACTCCAGAACCTAAACCCGAACCCCCAACACTCCGAAAGGCACTCAGCCCACCCGTCTGAGTTCTTCTTGAGGACCGTGTTTCCAAGTTACCAGAAAGAACAGACACGACATTTTAGGTACAAACTTACATCAAGTTCCTCATCCCTAAACTCTGAACACAACCCCCGAGAACCCCAGAAGTTCTCTGAGAATGCTGGACAAAAAGCGCTTGGGCGCAGCGAAGTCCTAGAAGCCTAAAACGGAGATAGCTCTACATTCATCATATTATGTAGACACATGTAGTTTTGTTCCGTATTATCTATGTATCTATGTATGTATGCATGGATGGATGCATGTATGTGTGTGTGTGTGCGCGCCTGCATGTCCAGCTTGCCACCAGCATAGGTTTTCCCGACGCAGGCTTCAACCACGTGCTCTTCGTGTCCGTCAGGCTGTTGAGGTGTTGTGTAGGTTGAAGACACTTGAATAAAGGCTTGCATGTTTGATGTTGCTGACAACTTGTTGCATGAGGTACAGATTGATAAGATCTCTCAGCCCTGACAACTGATGGCTAAGTCAGGACTAGTTTCATCAAGTAAAGAGTTGTCATGATCTTTCAAGTCCTAACAGTTGGTCTTCTTGGTGTCGCGAGGATGAGAAGCCTGACGAGAAGTGGCTTTTGCTGGACGGCCCAGTAGACACGCTGTGGATCGAGTCCATGCGACCTTGCCTCAATTAGAGATACGGACGTTGCGAGGGTCCAAGTGCCTACGACCGTACACTTCTGTGAGGCTCCATGTATGAATATAGTAGATACTTGGGCGTTAAAGCATATATTGTAATAGGAGCCCATCTAGGGTCCTGAGTTTATACTCTATAGGTACATGGAGCCATCGTGCTTCTTGACATACTAACCTATCTGACCCCACTGCGACTTATCCTAACCCCAGAAAAAGCAAGAACTACATAAGTATGGTACACACATTGGGACTCCCTGAACCCTAAACCCTAAGAAGCCCTAAGCCCTAAAGCCTAGGCCCTAAGCCCTAAACCCTCAGCCCTAAACCCCCCTAAGCCCTAACCCCTAGACCCTAAGCCCTAGACCCTAAGCCCTAAACCCCAAACCCTAGCCCTAAGCCCTAAGCCCTAAGCTAGGGAACCCAGGAAGCGGTTTTGGGATTCGGGCCTGTGGAATCGGCTTTTAAAAGCAGGAAGATATCCTAGCTACTAAGGGCAGGGGGTACTTTGATAGGAACCCTTGTAAGGGATCTCTTTTTGGATAGTACCAATGTAGTGAGCAGCCTTTCAGGCTTTTGTATATATCCAAGAGGGTCCATATAACTAGGTCCCCCAAAACCTGTTTTAGGATTTTCTGTTGGGGCCTACTTCCATACTGGTAGTGTATATGGCCCCAAAACCTAAACCCTAAA